AAAACGTAACGATTTGCTCTCACTCTTTTTTCCTGCCATTATTCGGTGCAAAACACAGATGGCGCGCCGCTGTATTTCTCATTTCTTGATTTTATCTTTCGTAAACATTTACGAAACTGCCACAAAAGCAAGTCGCTTAAAATCTATTTGCTTGCGTGTTTGAATTGAGACAAATGTAGACCGTGGGAAAAGTGTGTAATCAGCGGAGCGCGACTAGTAGCGTATTTATTTAAGGTTCGGTTCAAATGTGGCAGTTCTAAAAATAAACTGCTCCCGTTTAACAAGATATTGTGCTCGTAAGCAAGTGTGATAAGCCCCGGCACTCCTATTATATAATAATAAAAAGTTAAATATTTACACACAAAATAAATGTCGCACGCCCTGCCTGCTAATCCGCCGCAGCCAACACTTAATCAAGCAACTGCCCAGAAATATCTACCCACGCGTCATAACCAACAATCTCAGCAGCAATTGCCAACATGTACCTGGGCACTGAAGTACCCAGAATTGCAGAAAGCCTGTTTTTTGGCACGCATATGTGAGGAGAGGCCTCCTCTCCACTGTCAGCTGCGCAATGTATCTGTTATCCTACAAGAGGGGCCCACCTGTGGGCTCACTGCACTAAGCATGCTTGTGGGTGGGACTCCTACAGCACACGAACTCTTGCAGGTGGCAAGGGAGCTCCAATATACCAACAATGGCGAGATGTTTAGTGCACAAAACTTATTCAAACTTATATGTGATACTCTTGAATCGGCAAATTTCACGGCGGCCTACGCGATAAATACATTAAAAGAAAGCAAGAATGGTACGTCGACAGCGAAAACGATTGCCAAGGAATGCAAGAATGTGTTGGCGGCAGCGGAATGTGAATTGCATCAAGGTCGACTCGACTGTGCCAAGGTCAGAGCAGCACTAGAAGCAGGCGCTTGTGTTTTTGTTCCGTATCCTTTACAAAAGAATTTTATTACAGCGTTGGTAAGCCGTTAAGGCATTTGTAACATTTTAAAATGAAATGTTAAGTTAATCCTTACATAATTTCTAGAAAATAGGTTATTACATTTCATTCGAGATTGGTTTATTTTCTGCTTGTATTGTTTTGTTTTTGTATAAAAGCAAAAGCATCTGCTTTTGCAACTTTACTAAACAGCTGATTTGCGTTTGGCAATCGGTTTGACATTTGATAGACGTCGGATTGACATTTGCGCTTATTTTTGCTTGTATGATCTTTCCAACAAATTCTCGGGAGGGACTTGCTAATTTCTGATTATTAATATATTTTCGTCCATAAAGAAGGGTAAATTGGTGCAAAATGACAACCGAAGAAGAACAAGTAAGTATTTAACAAGATTTCNCTGATTTGCGTTTGGCAATCGGTTTGACATTTGATAGACGTCGGATTGACGTTTGCGCTTATTTTTGCTTGTATGATCTTTCCAACAAATTCTCGGGAGGGACTTGCCAATTTCTGATTATTAATATATTTTCGTCCATAAAGAAGGGTAAATTGGTGCAAAATGACAACCGAAGAAGAACAAGTAAGTATTTAAAAAGATTTTTGTAAATTCCATTAACTAACCTCACTTTTTGCCGACTAGATACAAGTGC